TCTTTGAAACAAAAAATCCGTACCCGAAAAGTAAGTAAAGAGCGTGTAACCATACTACCATGTGCTAACGCTGCGGGCACACACGCGCTTAAGAAGATGGTCATTGGGAAATCTAATAAACCACGGGCATTCAAAAACATTGATTTACCTGTACACTATTACGGACAAAAAGTGCATGGATGACAAAATACCTTTTCAAAAAGTGGTTTGATGAATGCTTCGTACCTGAAGTTAGAAAATGGTTAAAAGATCATAATTTTCCTCAAAAAGCGTTGTTGCTTCTTGATAACGCTCCCGGTCATCCGTCTGAAGAAGAACTAACAACTGAGGATAAATGCATCACTGCGATGTTTCTTCCGCCAAATTGCACTGCACTGATTCCACCAATGGACCAGAATATCATTCAGTTTGTCAAGCAAGACTATAAGAAAAACCTACTTCTGAGAGCCGTATCAAAAGACCAACCAATAGAAAAAACTTTAAAAGAATTTAATATGAAAGACTTGGCTTTTGCTCTGATCTCGCGTTATAACAACCTTAAACAAACAAAAAATTGATGAATATTTCCAAGCTTCATAATTTGATACATTCATTAATGATTTTGACTAACAATTCTTGATTATTTTGGTACATATGTATGTGCAATTATGTTTAATTTTATAATAAAACGTAAGCTCTCTATTGTTATTTAATTTACTAAATTCGATATCCATACACTATGTATGATTTGTATTTCAAAGTACATACATATACATAACATATATAACCTTACCATTGGATATGTAATTTGTCGGATTACAAGGTACTCTTTTGTAAAAAATTCCGGACTATAGGGGGTCTTAGGCAGTGCTCTATAATCCTACAAATTCGATAGTCCGACACTGCCCTGCATAATGTTTGTCGGATTACCGGAGGTCCACTGTAATATGTTCAGCACAAGTTAGTCCCTCGCTAAAAAATAGATAAATGGATCAAGTCAGTCAAACAGGATGATAAAATTAGTTGACGACGTTACGATATAGACACTTTTTCCCTGCCATACCGAGAAACTCTGTTTCAAAAACAAATGTGCTTAGAAATATACAGGGTGTTTATTAAATACCTGAACAAACTAGGTAACCACGCATTTCTTGGAAAAAAGGTTCTAAAAAAGTTTCAAGATATCAAAACTGCAACTTTTCGATGACCTTACATATGATCTAGACAATGGAACCACAGGGCTAATTTGGAGGTCACCTTTCTAAATTCAAACAGCAACCACAATTTTGGACAGCAGATTCGTGTCATGTCATGCATTTTTGACTTACAGTTCAGTAATCAAAAATGTATTGTACTCCAACGATGCAAGATGAGGAAAAGTGCGTGGTTGCCACGTTTTTGGGGTCTTCGTGTACTTTTTGGACATCACAGAAGGTCTTGTTGATTCAATGACTACTAAACCTCATATATTTATGAAAATATAAAAAAGCGTTTTGTTGTAGGTTCTCGAGCTCGACACGGATCTGCTACCAAAAAAGGTGGTTGCTATCTGAATTTACAAAGTTGACCTCCAAAGGACCTCTGAGGTCGTTGTTTAGGTCATATTTGAGGCCATCGACAAATTGCTTTTTGATGCCCTACAACTTTTATTAGAAATTTTTTTCCCAAAAAATGCGTGTCATATTTTTGGGGTGCTCGGGTACTTAATAAACACCCTGTATGAAATAAAAATGTTTAATATGTGTGTAGAATTGCAGGGGTTAGAAGCGTATAGTCTCTCGCAGCCCTTGTAATCTTCCTACCCCCAGCTTTGTACCTGACATTCCCAGAAATGAGCAGCGGTCTCTGAAACGTCAAAAAACTTAGTAATTTTTAATTTTTTCGTGTGTGGTTATTTTCATTATGCCTAAAAAGCGCAAGGAACTTATAAAACACCGAAATACAAATTTCGGGAACTAACTGAACTTTTTTGTTTTTCTTCCACGGGACCGATTTTCAAAATCTACAAACCATAGTAGTAACGTTGTGTCAGAATTCTATTTAAAACCGAGTTGTAAATGGGCCAAGGAATAGCGTACAGACAGACTGCCTGACCAAAAGGGAGTATATGGTTTCTCGCAATTACACTTCCTCGCCGAGAAGCAAAAGAGCGGAAACAGCAATAAAAAGTAAAAAAAGGGCAAATAAAAGTCTGTAACCCGCACCTCGTAAATTTCACTGATGAAATATTCCTGGAACAGGGGAATATTTTCCTGGGGCTATTCGGGTTCGGCTGCGGTTACCATTCCCCCCAAGGCGTCATTAAATTGTTCTTATTATTCCCGGAAGAACGGGGTTGTTCTGGCCTCAAATTGTTCGGAAACAAACCCGCACACGAAATATGAACTACAGAGGAAGTCTTGGAAATCCAACACCTGAAGACGGTAGGAGGATGCCTGGTTCATTAATTTTGAACTTCAAGCAGTCATAAGTATCCTACGTGTTCATATTCGGCATTCGCAAGTTCGACACGGTATCACATTCCAAGAATTGTCATTAGCAAAACGCCTCCATATTTATGGAATAGGATAAAATTTGGATATGACATCCATAATATAAATATTCGCAGTAAGTTCCGTATCTCTCCCCCTCTACATCGAACAAATAAATATATGTATGTACCGCTCAGGGATCTGTATTGGCACCACTTGTCATCCTGTTTATAAACGATCTGAAGCTCTCACGTATAGTGGTGAACTACGCATCGTAGTAACTGCAGATTCGCCTGAAGATCTGTACCTTAACATTGGAATTATAAAACCTGAGATGGAAAACAAATCGCCTGATTTTGAATACTGACAAGACGCTAGTTGTTCACTTTTACTCTAGTACTCCACGTCTTATTAATAGTACGATCTCAGACTCTACGACCTTCCTGGGTATTGAGTCGGATGCAGGATTAAATTGGAAGCAACAAGTTGACAGTATATGCAGGAAACTGAATAGGACCTACTATGCTATATTGAAATTAAAGCCAAATCACACCATCGTCTGGGGACAAACGTGCACCGCGTCCAGGGTGGTTATTTTGCAGAAACGTATCGTAAGACTGATATTAAAAGGGTTTCGTTTTTGACCACCCTGTAGGAGCAAAAATTAGAATTCGAAAAAGTAACAAATAAGATAAAAGCTTAAACACCTTATATCTCAGTAGCTAATTACCAAAACGCCATAGTATGTTATATCAATTTTCTTCTTTTGAATAGGTTTATAAAAATATGTAATAACATTTGAGGCACAACTTTGATATGTAGGTTGAAATTGGGGCACCCTGTATAATTTCCAATATTTTAGAAATGTACCTTCAAATGTCATGTAAAACATGCCGTAAATAAATTTTCCCAAAATGAGTAATATTCCGTCGACACGTGGATGGGCCACCCTGTATATATTTATAAATGCACCCTCTGCTCCTTCAATCACAGAGGCCTCTAGAACAAATATATTAGATGCCCAAATATGTTCAAGAAAGAGCTGAGGAATCTGTTAAGAGTGATGTACCTAAAATTAAATAGGAAACTAAGCTATATAGGTATATACTGTTTAGCGTTCTGATACTTATACAGGGTGTTTCAGTTTATTGTTGCATAACTTTAAGATTCGATAGAACTTTTAAAATTAATGCATAAAGTCTATATAAACGTGGGTCGAAAAATGCGTGGCTTCCGAAATACAGGGTGTTTAAATTTACTTTTTAAAATAGTTTTTTTTAAATATTTCGAACAATATTTGATGTATAACAGTGAAAATTGGTATACAAGGGTTTTTTGGTACGACAAAACGCAGGGCGCTCTCTACTGTACCTGTAGTGTATTAAAATGACCAAAAAATTTTTCTTAGTGCAATTTTTTGCTTTTTGAATAAAAAAAACTGATTCTTCGCACTTTTCTGCATGAATTTTCGTTATAGTGAGCCGTTTTTGAGATATTTCGATTTTTAAGGTTCGATGCATTTTTAATTATTTATGGGAAAATAATATTTTTTTTACATTTTCGATTTGGGCATTACAAGTAATTAAAATGATCGTTTAGATTGTGTTTTTAAACACAGCAATAATTCCTAACTCCAAATAAACACAAAAAAACAGAATTTTCCAATATTATTTTTATTTTTATTATTTATTATTCAAATAAGGCCTTATTTCATCACATGCATTCCTGATTCTGTCTATCAGCATATCCCTTGTGGTTACGGGAGTCTGGTACACTTTTTCTTTTAGAAATCCCCACACAAATAAATCTAATGGATTTAGGTCAGGGGATCATGGAGGCCAGGAGACTGGTCCTCCACGGCCGATCCATCTTTCTGGATAATTTTCATCCAGCCAGTTTCTAACTATTCTCGAATAATGAGCTGTACAACCATCAAGCTGGAACCAGGCCAATCTTCTTAAATCTAACATAACATCATCCCACATATTTGCATGTTCAGCCTTTAAAAATTCCAAGAAGGTTGCAGCTTTTCACCTTGCAGGCAAAAGGTAGGGTCCAAATAATCGATTACGGTAGATACCAATCCACACGTTCACACTAAATTCATGCTGAAAATTTCTTTCCCTAACTGCATGCGGATTTTCATGCGACCAAATATGTTGATTATGGAAATTTACCACTCTACGTCTAGTAAAGCATGACTCATCGGTCCATAAAACGTTACTTAAAAACTCCCTATTATTATCAGTTATATCAAGAATCCACTGACAAAATGTGATTCTTCGTTCTCCGTCCCCTGGCTGTAGTCCTTGCACAGGTTGCAAATGCTAAGGACGTCTATGGTCATTTCTAAGAACACGGTGAACATGGCTTGCTGAAATTCCCAGGGCACCAGAAACTCTCCTAACACTTGTGGTCGGATCTCTATCAAACTCACGCAGAATCATACGGGTAAATCTGCGCTGAGGAACATTTATGTTTTGATCCCTTTGGAGATTTCCAAAACCATTTTCAATTATTTGGCGATGCACTCTTAAGCCGGTTTTCCACCAAAGCAACTGGGTTTTGTTTCCAAAAAGAGCAACAAAAACTAGTTGCTGTCTTTGGAAACAAAAATTCAACTATGTGTCCACCAAAGCAACATCAATAGATATTTTTGTTTTCGGTTTGTTTTCATCTGTTTCTACTAAAGAGACAGGAAACAGTTTGAAAATGTCGACTAAGAGCGATGATTTATTTGTGATTGCATGTGGGTTTTTCGTTATTCAATCAATTAAAGAAAAACAGAAAAAAAAGAAAACCAAGATATTGGGTAAGGCCATTTTTAAAGGAATGGAATAAGTATGGCATAAACGAAATGATTAATAACCTACGAAAAGATGATTTGGGAATAAATGGTGAACTGAGCTCTACCTTTAAAAACTTCGTAAGAATATCAAGTGCTGACTTTGAGTATTTAATACAACTAGTGGGTCCAAAAATTTTTAAGCAAAACTCCAACTATAGAGATGCTATTTCCGTAACAGATCGCTTGGCAATTACATTACGATTTTTGGCAACAGGGGATAGTTTTCAAAGCTTAATGTATTTACTCAAAGTATCCACTACCACAATTTCAAGAATTGTGCCGGAAGTATGCAGTGTTCTATTCGAAGAACTATGTCATTTCATACAGGTGAGTAAAATTTCTAGCAGACACATAAGGTATTTTTAATTATATTTTTTAAAAACAGTAAACACAAATGCAAAGTTATTTAATACTGAACTTAATACTGAACATTTTCTTAAAAAAAAACTCTTTCACCTAAAGAAAATACTGAACATTAATTATTGTTTGCTTCTTGTACTTCTGGTACTCCGAACGAATTTGTTATGGCCCAGTGCAGAACGTCAGCATCACTACTAATAATATTAGTGGCTCCCAATGTAGCGTCCATTGCAGATGATGATGCTTCGGAATTGGAAGAAAAATGAGTTTGTGATCCTGAATTGGAAGCAAAAGGAGTTAGTGATCCTGTTTGTGATGGATTACGTTGTGGGTATGAAGGATAGTCATATTTTCCTAGTTTGGCGTTGAATAATATGTCGTTAATTAATTTTTGAGCGGTAACTTTTGCAAATTCGGTCGACAGAGAACGTATTTCGTGCCCTACTAATTCTCCATAAATGTTATACTCGTCCCGCACTTGTGTACCGCCGTTTGACCTATGAAATGCAGCCTTCATCATTTGGAAAGCCTCTTGAGTAATATTCTCGTTTTCAGTTGTTGAAGTAGGTTTACCCTTTTTTTTGCGACTCCATTTTGGAGGTACAAGGAACTGCTCTCCTTCCGATGTATTTCTTTTTGGCGTACTTGGCATATCCTTCAACTGTTCTTGGTGAGGTACTTGGTTACCTGCCTGTACGGATTGCCGGTCCTCAAGTCTGACAACTTCAAAATCTTCTATGTTTTCCTGGGTTTCGGCTTGTGATTGCACTACTCTGTCTTCTAAAAGGCTTTCATTATCGCTACCGTCTTTTGAATCACTATCCTAAAATAAATAGTATCAATAAATATCAAAATATCACTATTAAGCATTCTGATATATATTAAATAAATGTATTTTTCCTTTCAGGTTCCAACTGTTCCCAATGGATGGAAAAAAATTGCTAATTACTACAATAATTTATGGAATTTTCCGATGTGTCTTGGCAGTATGGATGGCAAACATATAATAATTCAATCCCCGAAGTTCAGCGGAAGTGAATATATAAACTATAAGGGAACTTTCAGTATTGTTTTGTTCGCTATAGTCGATGCCAATTACAATTTTATATATGTTTATATAGGCTGTCAAGGTCGCATCTCAGATGGTGGAGTTTTTAAAAATAGTGGATTTGCAAAAGCACTAGATAAATCAATGCTTAATTTCCCACAACCAACTATATTACCTGGCCGACAAAAACCTGTTCCATACGTTTTGGTGGCAGACGATGCATTTCCTCTGTCTGAAAACATACTTAAGCCTTTTGCGGGGAATCAGGATCGCGGGTCAAGGCAGCGGATATTTAATTACCGTCTTAGTAGGGCAAGGCGAGTTGTAGAAAACGCATTTGGCATTTTAACATCAGTTTTTAGATGTCTTCGAAAACCTATGCTTTTAGAACCAGAGAAAGTTGAAAAAATTACAATGGCTTGCGTTACTTTGCACAACTTTTTAAGAAGAAATGCACAAGCAAAAGATCTCTATACTCCACCAGGATCATTTGATGCAGAAGATTTAGAACTTGGGACACTAACTGAAGGGGCCTGGAGAAAAGATTCGGAAGTGCTTCAATCATTTTTGCCTATAAAAAAAGTGGCAAGAAAATCCTCATATATAGCTAAAGAAATTCGAGACGAATTTAGTGAATACTTTGTGTCGGAAATTGGACAAGTACCTTGGCAATCAAAATATAATTAATTTAACTTTCACTTAAGGGCTTCTATTTTCAATCATAAATTACAAAAGCCTTTTATGAATTTCCTTGTTTTAGTCGAATTTGAAATTTAATATTCTTGTGTTATGTACGAGAAAAAATTAAAATCTTTTTATTAGTTATGTATTAAAATACAGGTGTACTGTAGTTAGCTTTAGGAAGTAGTTTACATTTTCTTTAATAGTTGATATACTTATATAATAAATAATATCATTGTAAACAAAGTATGTATTCCATAAAATATACCTCCGCACTATTTTTTAAATTTAAAAGATTTGTGATTAACTTACGTCATATTCAATCCCCGCTTGGTGGCCCTTTTTTGGCTTATTTCTGTCTTTCAAGAATGCCATTGCTGTATATCCAAACCATTTAGCTTTAAATTCATTTCCAGCACCCGACTTTTGGCACTTCTTATAATTTCTTTTTTCTCTTTGGTACTGTTTTTATGTTTTTTAGTTTTCGTTCAATTTCATCCTTGGTTGTTCCAAATATTTCCGCTATTTCCTTTAGTGAATCGTATTTTTTATATCTGTTTTTGGATTCCATAGATTCCACGAAGAGTAAAATCGCGTGTCTTATTAAAAAATTAAAACAACAAAAATACCGGAATACGAGTCTCTTGTATGTTTGCACTAAACCAACTGTGTTGCTAAAACCTGCAACCCAACAAGAAAACCTTTCGATCTTTCCGCTCCGAGACGGGACTTTCAACAATTGCCAGAAACAGTCGCCAGCAACACAATGTTGCCGGAATGTTTCCAAATTCGGCAACTCCAACTCGAGTTGCTGTTTTGTTGATGTTTTGTTGGTTTGGTGGAAAACCGGCTTTACAAATACTGAGCGAGTTGGATGTCGTCTGTTTGGAAATCTTGGTGCGTATTCTCTGGCTGCTTCTGCTACGTTTCCATTTACAAAGCCATACACAAAATGAATATCCGCTAACTCTTGATTGGAGAATAAAAATAGCATTTTTATAAAACTTACAAAAACAGGTAAAGAAACTAAATTTCGTGCATTCACAATTGCAAAAAAACGTTTCAGGTTTCAACAGACAACAAAATTAACTGTCAACTAATTGACGTTTAACCTTATTCTGCTTTCAATTTCAAAAATATTTGCAGGCACAGCCTACTTCTAAAAATTATCGAGATACTGACTTTTTAACGTTATGTTATCATAAATAATTAAAAATGAATCGAACCTTAAAAATCGAAATATCTCAAAAACGGCTAACTATAACGAAAATTCACAAGAAAGCTTTTTTATGTTGAAAAGTGCGAAGAATCAGTTTTTTTATTCAAAAAGCAAAAAATTGCACTAAGAAAAAGTTTTCGGTCATTTTAATACACTACAGGTACAGTAGAGATCGCCCTCTAGCGGCTACAGTAAAATTATGCCCATGGTTCGTTTTGTCGTACCAAAAAACCCTTGTATACCAATTTTCACTGTTATACATCAAATATTGGTCGAAACATTTAAAAAAAACTATTTTAGAAAGTAAATTTAAACACCCTGTATTTCGGAAGCCACGCATTTTTCGACCCATGTTTATATAGACTTTATGCGTTAATTTTAAAAGTTCTATCGAATCTTAAAGTTATGCAACAATAAACTGAAACACCCTGTATATGCGTACCTTTTATTTTTTCTATTGTTATTCTTCTTACTATCTGCTTGTTTAGTTCGTGCACACATGCGTCCTTTGTCCTTTTTTCCACTTTACTGTTGCTGTGATTTTTTCCATTTTAACCGCTGCTTCTTCGACACATTTATACAGGGTGAATTTGAAGTTGAGTCATTAATTTTCAGATAATGATTGTAGAAGGAAGATAAACCAAAATATGTGTGTAAAAATAAAAAAAAAAAATAAAATGTTTACCTTGTTTTATAAAGTATTCTCCCGACAAGTATTTCAGTGCGGACCTGTATTTGATCGTGCGGTCTTGGAGCACATACCCTCCCGTGTGAGGACTTAAGTCACCTGATTCACGAGCCCTTTGTACTACATTAACAAAGGCACTAGGGGTTGGTTGCACTCGATTGGGAAACCGATCCGCATAAATCCGTGTTGCCGTAGCAGCATTTTGTAAAATAAGAATCATGTCCACAAGTTCAGCATTTTCGTAAACATGTGTCATTTTTTATTTCGTTTGAGCAACGCACAAACACCACTCACGCGTTACCGACTGACACATCGAATGAATACAACTGAATAAAATAAATGAATAAAACATCGTGATAAGCGTTTCAAATTCTTTCGCTTTTTTGTTTCCGATTATATCCGTTGTTGCCAAACACGAGCACATATTATTATTGAGACAGGGCGGTACTCAAACTTCTAAAGGGCTATAACTTTGTTACTTTAATTTTGTTTTATAAAGTATCCTCCCGACAAGTATTTCAGTGCGGACCTGTATTTGATCGTGAGGTCTTGGAGCACCGGCATGCCGTCCATATGTGAGGTCTTAAGTCAAATGATTCACGAACCCGTTGTACTACATTAACAAAGGCACGAGGGGTTGGTTGCACTCGATTGGGAAACCGATCCGCATAAACATGTGCCATTTTTTATTTCGTTTGAGCCATGCAACAGACACCACTATCCACTACCGACTGACACTGACTGTATACAACTGAATGAAATAATTGTAAAAACATCGTTCCAAATTCTTTCGCTTTTTTGTTTCCGATGCGATGAACCGATAAGGCGAATTATATCCGTTGTCGCCAATCACGAGCACATAATATTATTATTGAGACAGGGCGGTACTCAAACTTCCAAAGGGATATAACTTTGTTACTTTAATTTTACCAGAAAAATGGTAAAGGAAAAAACATTTCTTTTGATCAGATCTACTCACTGTTAAAATAAATGACTCAACTTCGAAGTCACCCTGTATATTTATACTTGAATATATTTTAAAATTTTGTAGATAATGTACTTATAGAGGTATATCTGACGAGTCTTATATCATACCTATGATCCGAAGACAATAAACCATCTATCTACGTATCTATCTATCTTCTATATTTCAAAGATTATTTACATTTAAGAATATGGAATGCTATTCCCTTCCATTTTTGAAACCTACCCTCCAAATCATTCAAAGTCAACCTTCAAAAACAGTCTGTACACACCTTGACTATAAGTTATAAGCAAACTTTTATTGTAAGCTACATTTTTGTTTCAGCGTTAGGAGCGTGATGCACAAGTATTTAGAGAAGAAAAACGAAGTGAACTTCGACAAAATTTTCCATCAAACTTTAGGTAAGTGCCCGAGAAAATTTAACTCTATTATGCTGAAGTTTGGAGTGCAGGGTTATCGATTCTAACGCTGGAGATTACCAGGTTGTACATAGAAATCCGTTGATGAATAATTTTTGTCAGCGACCTAGCTTTATTTTTGCAAATAGTTGGGATGATACGAATATTTAGGGACGTATCGTCAGTCGTAAATTGTAAGACGCTTCCTTGATTTTTATATTCTTTTCTATTCTTCAGAAAGGCTGGGGTAATTCTAGATTTCTACTGTGCCGTGCCAGCAGCAGCGCTTTCCTATTGTGAGTCTAAGGTTTCTGTATAACAGATGCTATAAATCAAAATAATTGTAGCACGTCTTTATCGTCTCTTTGATTTTCATAGTTTTCTACTGTTCCGTGTCAGCGCTCTATTTTGAGGTTATGTTACAAATATCTATTTGCGTCAAATCGCTCATGCTTTTGATTTATATGAGCCATTGAAAGCCAGGATGGTCCAAGTCACAAAAAGACATTTCCGAGATTTAAGGCTTTAAAGTTTAGATGCGTCTGATAAATGTAGAGTAATAAAACTGCAGTAAGAAATCAAAATACCCTTAAAGGTAGAATCAATTTAAGTATCTTATCATAAAATACATGAACATTTTGTGTTCATGTGTTTTTTTTCATATGTTTAAGCTTTAGCCCACTCTGCCTTAAAACGGTTCTTACCTTTGGTTTCATACTTGTATAACGATTATATGGGGTTGTCCAAAACAGACGCAGGAAAGTAAACGCATATTAAAACAAGAAAGATTGATATTCAAATCAAGTTGGGTACTTTATTTTGAAGGTTCATTTATACCATTTATGTATGAAAAATAATATCGCTCAAATGTTCACCACGACTGGATTTACAGACGCTCACGCGATGGTCGAAATTTTCAATGCCATTTTGCAACATGGTCGGTTCTATGGCATTTATCTCGGCAATGATGTTGTTTTTGAGTTCTTGGAGGGTGGCTGGTTTGTTGACGTAGACTTTGCTTTTCAAATATCCCCATAAAAAGAAGTCCAAGGGAGTCAAATCGCACGATCTTGGTGGCCATGGCACATTTCCTCTGCGCGAAATCACGCGATCACCGAAGAAGGACTGCAATCGATGGATATTGACGTTGGTTGTGTGGCATGTTGCACCGTCTTGTTGGAAATAAACATCGTCCATATCCATTCCTTCAAGTTGCGGCAAAAAATAGTCCTCTATCATCACGTGATATCGCTCAGAATTGACGGTAACGGCGTCCCCGGCCGCATTTTCGAAAAAGTAAGGTCCGATGATGCCTTTTGATCACAATGCACACCACACAGTCACTTTTTGAGGATGCATCGGCTGCTCTTGATACTCACGGGGATTTTCGTTCGCCCAGATGCGGTAGTTTTGCTTGTTTACCGTCCCACTCAAAGTGAAATGCGCTTCGTCGCTGAACATGATTTTTGATGAAAAATTGGCATCAATTTGGCGGTGTTCAAGGAGCCAATCTGAGAACGTTCGGCGCGAAAAATGGTCGGCCCGATGCAGCTCTTGCGTCAATTGGATCTTGTAGGCGTGTACATTCAAATCCTTGTGGAGAATGCGGAGCAAACTGGTTCTCGAAATGCCCAATTCTTGGGATCGACCCGTTGTTGATTGTTTCGGATCGTCTCTCACACTCTCCTTCACAGCAGCAATATTTTCCGATGTGCG